CTAATGTCTAATTAGGTCGTTGTTGCTGCTACTATTGAGGGAAACTGTTTTTACTGAGCCGTCATATGCAGCTGCTTGTTAACCTCCTGAGAAAACGCCATCCTGAAAGGGATACTCGTTTCTAAAAGATCGATGACTGTTTTGACGATTACACCGTGTAATCGATTATTGATTATTTACAGATGGCGTGTTCGGGCAGTGCTACTCGCCGACTAGCGGTGCGCCTAAACCTACCGTAATAGATCATCTAGATGACACACAGTTGGAATTACTACGTTTAGAACTTACCAGGTACGGACCAGTTGAATATCATTCTGTTCAATCGATAATCGATTTTGAAAGATCGGTATTTAACCATAAGTAGACATGCTCTGGTTACTACGACATTAGTACATCAACTAATTGAAAGATTAGTAGCTACCTTGACTTCCTACATTGCATCCAAGACCAACTATATCGAGAAGGCTCGCAAAATAACAAACAAATAACCAAGTAATTGAATACTATTTTTGTTAACCACTTGGCTTTCAGATTAGCAAAACAAGGTCTTGAATGGCCAGATCAACGTGCACAATGTGTGCTTTCCTATTTCAAATTGTCAATGTATTACGGTCTGCAATACGATCCGGACTTTTGTCAGGTTCGGAATCCGGCGAACATCTGGGCTCTGTTACAGGTCCGTTAGCTTCTGATAGAAGAACTTCAATATTTTGACTAATGAGTGCAATTCAGTTGATTGAAATGGGTTTGAACGACGATTCGGCTGGAGCGGAGGCAGAGGCGGATGATGTCCCGGCAGTTGTCGAGGACGTCGACACGAGTGATGATAACAACGACCTTGTAAGTGACGTTACGGAGGTTTTTGGGCACTATATGGCTCAGAAAGAGTCAATCTGCAATTTCGTATCAGCGCCTAGTGGCATTTATTGTACCCTACATATCCTGGAGGTGGAGTGGGAGTGGCTTCACTTCAGTGGTTTGGAAATGGCGGAAAACTCGGTTTTTGTAAGATATTCCCATTTGGGTTCCTGCCATCCTGTGTTGCGCTGAACAAAAACATGATCCCCTTCTCTTAAAACTACATTGTTCCATCGAACACCGCGGCCGCCATCGCATTCAAGTGAACTACGCAGCCACGCCCTCTCCAGCTCCGAGATATGGGGTGCAGTTTGCCTGCACGAATAGGGAAAGAGGCTCCTGTGGTGAGTAAGCAACTTTGCGCGTTAATAGTGATAAGTTCTTTAACCACCCAGAGCTCTCTTTACTTCAAAAGTGGTCAACTATACAGGACGGACGCAAAATTGCAGACTTATCCCTCCAATGTCACATAGCACCTGTTTTCGCTCATTCTCTGATGTAAGCAGTTAGAGTATATCACTATTCCGAACGAGTGAGTGGAGGTGTAACGTCATTTCAAAAATCAATTGATAATTCGTATTGATTAGAAACGGTGCTGAATGAATGAATGATTGATTGACTTTCTTGCGAGCTGATATGGTTGGAAGAGAGCTCTCCTCTATTTGCCTTGAAGGCATTGTTTACGCTGGCTGCATGGGCGGAGAGGCTCAACTATTATCCCTTGCTAATTGGTGTGCTACTTCTTCTGAGACGGTGGAGAGGAGGGGTCCCTCTTGAAGGAGGTACAATGGCTAGGGCTTTACACTCATGAATCTAGCCTGAAAGGACGTAAATTCACCGCCCACATTGCATTTGGAATTTATTAGCAATTTTTTTATAATTCAGTGAGATGACGCGGAAATGACATCATGCACGTCATGACTTAAAATAGTCGCATAATTGGCATCACTAGTATGACAGAGTTACACGCTGTTATTTGTTTATCGGTTAGCCGTGGGCAGCAGCCGTAACGCGTAATTGCAGCGTCAAATCAAAGTCGAATGCATGGCGCATCCGGAAGGGAACCATTCACTACGGGCACTTCAACCATTATATTCGAGGTTAAGAAACAATGCGTTTCCTATCTAGTATAGAGACATTAAACCTCAATACCCGCAAAAAATTTCTCAGAAATTAAAAAACTACGTGTTGTCAGCGATCCTTGACACTTTTTTTACTGAGGCCGTTTTAGCCAGCTCAACTTCCCGTGGTTGACGACGGAGCAGTCGACGTTGTTGTTCCTCTTGAGGCACAAGAAGTCGATCCTTCTGAAAACGACGCGGAACAAGTGCCAGATTCAGTCCCAGAGGAAGAAATTCAAAACATCCTCGATCAGATACAAGAACCAGCACCGCAACTTGACGTCGAAGGTGGGTCAGCCAATCAATTATCGATTTTCCTCATTTCGTTTCTTCTACAGTAGAGGTAACAGCGACATACTGGCACTGAAGAAATTTGAATTTTATACAACAGTCTCAATGGCTTTCATAAGTCAGTAAGCTCTTGAAACTACTGCGCACTCAAAGTGCGCTAAATCCTTCCAGGAGTGGGGATAGGAACATTTTCGTATATTCACGTCATTGTACTATCACAATGATCCCGTACTATGTAGTCTTACCGCTGAGAGCATTCCTTCCAGCAGAAAGTTTTCTTAGTATCCATGTCGAGCATGAATTCTTTCTTCCCAAGAAAAGAAGCCATCTAGAGCCTTTCTCATGTTGGTTTCGGTATGCACGTGCAGAATTTGTGAGTGGGTGGATGGAACTTTTTCGCTCTCATGAATTGTCACTCTTGAGTCATCCTACCGTCTGACTTTTTTTATTGAACCTAATTAATTAGTAGTGCCTGTCATGAGGATATACTTTGTTTCTTTTCTTTTCCTCTGATCTCACTGTGAATGGGATTTATTGTAGAGCTTTGTTTGCCTTTGACGTCACTGTTCGCTAGGACGAAATCCTTGCTCAAATCCCTCGCGGAAAAACAAAATGGTCATGCTCCGGACCGGCTAACAAGTGGCACCATAATCGTTCAAGGAGAGCAAAACATTTGCTTATAAATCGAATGACTCCGCAAGTCATTTCATGATCCAAATCCTGTTCAAATTACACTTGATGAAGGGTGCGCGGCGCATTCCAAAATGGGACAGGCAACGCTGAATGCTCCTTTACTTCAAGATCATGAGTTACCTCTGAAGAAACACTATTTGGGAAACCGAAAGTCACCGCGCTGTACTTTTTGGAAGCTTTGGTGGTGTCGTCATGAATTTATTTGACAATTCATCCGTTGTGCCTTCAAAAGTGCGTATCTGTGGGACTAAGTTGTCAATTAGGCTGCGTTCATACTTTGCGGCAGCGTCCGCCAACGACCAATGGCGTCCACCAGCGTCCCAAAGGTCTGGCACCGTCAGCGACTGGAAAGTATAGAGATCAACCTAGTGTCTGCCAGTGCCTGCCACCGACCAGCAGCGTCCAGGAGTGGACTATCTACCACCAGTCTGCTGCTGGTCGCTGGTGGACGCTGCTGCAAAGTATGAACGCAGCCTTATAGCTGCTATATCAGGTCGTTGAAAAGTGTTTGTTGGTGAGAAGTACACGAAAAAAAAGCTGGCACTTAGAAAGCGCACGCTAGGAAACCATATGAGTTACGAAAGAAACATTCAAAGTGTTACTGTCCCCGTCTACATTTTTGACATCGCCATCAGACGGGACGGTTTGAACAAGCATCGAATGAGTTCATCCGCAGGCGTTTTCACTGCTGGTTCTTTTCTCCCTTAATCGATCACTAACCAGTCACCGTTGTTGGAGCAAGGCAGCCGAAGATGGGCCCATTCCACCCCTCCTGCCGCTGCTCCGTTTGATTGCGGTGTTATAAGGTGTAATTTATGCGACATTGTCTCGTACAGAAAATAAGCGGTACTATGCTCGTTTATTCATTTATCCAGAAGAGTTTGGCGTGTTAGGGCACCTCTTGCAGCGTCCGTGATGACGAATATTATTTGAAGTAATAAAAAGTAGATGTTTCACGAATTCGATGAGCCAGTTCACCAGTTTTGGTTGAGAGGGAGTGAGCTGGAGTGCCCTTGGGCACTGTGGGAATCCCAAATTGTAAAAAATACCTCAGTGGTGCTTCGTTCCTAAGATGGTTTCCAGTGCCCTGAGTGTCAATACAACTCTTCTCTTTTGTTTTTATTCTTGACATTTTTATTCCCTTTTAATTCTAAGCCACAGTTGCCCGATGTGCGGGAGATCCTGCTTCCCGACCCACTTCAGTTTGCTCACAACTCAGAAATCCTACAAAAAATCAACTTTGATGTTCTTTTGCTCTAGAGCAAATGAGTGAAATATCTGAGCCCCAGCATGGCGTCTCAGCAGTAAGCAGGGAAATCTATTCCCTCTCCATATTTCACTGAAAAGGGCAATGTTCGGGCAATGTTTTTGCCCCTCCAATAAAACGGCAGCTGTAGCACAAACAATCCGTCGGTCAGTGTGACTCCACTTTTCTGTTATGAATGATGCGGTTCATAAATTTTTATGCTTCCTTCTTTATTATGCATGAAATTTTCATTTATGGACTGTCTGAATAAAGCGAGGTTCTACCCGTTGGGTATCTCGGGGTATGAAGGGAATGGCTCCGCATTTGCAGTGATAATATCCCTGGGGAGCTTTTCTATGACATTATTCGGTTCAAAGAGTTCACTGCACCGAAATGGCGCTAATACATCATCCTAGCGAATATGAACCCTGTCGAGCATCAAGCCCTAGCAACGCACTGGGCAGTTCTGTAAGGGCCTGCAAACTGCTGTAAATCTATGAAATGATACCAATTTCATACTCAAGCCATTTCCTCGATTTTTGAGATATTTGAGATTTTGAACGTGGTTCAAGGTTCGCTGGTGTAAGTAAAGACTCTGAGCCACTGAGAATTTCACCCAAGCATAGGGAGCAAGGAACCGCGGGGATGAATGAAGCAAATCCTTTGGGGAAAAATCGATTTGCATCTGGTGAGCATGGCTCAATTACCAGAGGTTGCAGCCATTTTTGACGCTATCTTCTGCCTTCTCCAGCTTTCTTCTTACTGGTCTCGCAACAAACCAATTCGTTCTTTTTCATAGCTTCACAGAAGCTTACAAAAGTTTGCGGAGTTGTAATGTGTGTATTTTGGCAAGAGTTTGCAGAATGTCCCGCTATTGTGGAGGACTGACACCCTCGATTCCTGAGAGACTGCACCATTTCTCAAGTCCCCTCTTCAAGGCACATTTCACGTTCGTTGTCTGAACGAAGCGGCGCTTACCATCAGTGTGATCGTGGTAAGGCTGCGTTTATACTTTGCGGCAGCGTAGCGTAGCGTAGCGCAGCGTAGCGTAGCGCTTCCAGCGTACGCCAGCGGCAGTGCCGAAGAGAGGATGCATATCGATCTAGCTTCACCAGCGTCACCAGCGGCACGCTAGCGTACGCTGGCGTAG